CTTCCCGGACGCGCGCCCCCGGCGCTGGCCGCGCCAGCCCTGGACTGTTCTCCTTCCGCCCAGCCCCCAGTCCGGGCGCGGGCGTGCCCGTTTTCAAGACTGGAGACTGAGGCACGGAGAAGGGTGCTGGGGCCGCGCGAGGGCAGTGCTTTAGAAGGCGCTGCCACGGGCAGAGGGGGTGCGCGTGCGTGCAAAATAGACCGCTGGACCGAGAGATGAGGACTGGACACGGAGAGGGCTAAGTATAGGAAGAAACTACCCCGAGAGGGAGGTGGGGAGACAGAGACAGCTTGAGAGACAGTCTCAAAGAGACAGACACAACAACAGCGGTTCACCTAGAGAAACACACGCTAAAACGTGCCCTTCCTAGACTTGCCCACGGGCTGGCTCCGCTCGGTTCCCAAGCACACAGCCCCCCTCCCCTAAGACCTGGCCGCCTTCCAGCCCCCACTCACAGGCGGTGGGGTGGAGGAGTGTTGGGTGTATGGGCGAGACTGGAAGGGGCGCCCCCATAGCCCTCACTTTCATGCAGGTAGTGACACTTCCCAGTCAAGTCTGGGCCAGCTTCTAAGCCCTGTCTATATATGCATTTATACACCACCACAAGCTAGCCAAATATTAATGTGACCCTTTTACACAAGAAGAAACCGAGACACAGAGGGGTTAGCCGATTCCCTTAATTACCCAGCTAGTAAATTGGCAGCAGCCCTTTACCAGTGTTTTGAATGACACCGAGAGAGGTTGGCCCTCTGTGGAAAAACCTGAGGACTGATGGGGGGTGGGCGGGGAGTGGAGGATCTTTTATTTTGGCGGAGTTGGTGTGAAATTGGAATTATGAGTCGTGCTCAACTAAAGGGTGCTCATCCAAGTGCTCCCCTTGGGAACTCCGCCTTTACTGGGGATCATCCCCAACATGGACAGTCACCTGTCATCATCAGGTGGTTTCCCAGAGGGAAAACTCTCAAGAGCAGGGAAGAGAACTTGTTTCCAAAGGGAGTTATGGCCCTGGAAGGCTCCCTGATGGCGCAGTGGTTGAGCGCTTGGCTGCTAATGCTGCTTAGAACCCACCACCAGCTAACACTCCGGAGAAAGTTATGGCAGGTGGCTGTGTAGAGCATGGCAGCCTTGGGAAGCCTCAAAGCCCAGACAACCTGCTGTCACTTGTGTGGATTCCTACTCGGAGAGACCCTGTGGGACCGACCCATCGGGTTTCCAAGGTTGACATCTTTTCAGAAACAGCCTGCTTTATAAATCTTTCTCCCTCCTAGAGGCTGATGGGTTCGAACCCAATGACCTTTTGGTTAATAACTGACCGGTGCTTAACCAATGTGCCAAGAGGGACCCTTGGGAAACTCTACGGGGCGGTAACAGGGAGGGTCCTGGGTGAAAGCGGGGACCCAGGAGAAGCAAGATAGGCCTGGTCGCTGCGTGCGTTCCCACGGTGCAAAGTTCATTGTTGCAGGCGGCGGCGATTGTGCCAGCCTCCACGTCGACGTGTGCGGAGCACGGGGGAATCCCTGGTGCGGCGTCCTCTGGGGCCCAGGGGGCCTTCCCAGGCCGGTCCCGTGAGCAGGGCGGCCTCGGGCGGCTCTGGCACGGTTGCGGCCTCCTGCTCGCCCGTGACTCACTTGCAAGGGGCGGGGGAGGGGGGCTTCCTGGAAGCCGTGACGAGGAGGCTCGGCCGGACGCCCGGGTTCCTCTGCTGTAACCAGGGCTTCTAACTTTTGTAAACAGAGCTTAGAAAACAACGGGAAAGGGGGAGGGAGGGGGAGAGGCGTGGGACCCCTCCCAACAGGCCTCCGAACTCCGAAGGCTAAGGGGGCGGGGATGCCATGGGTGGGGGGCAGTCTGGCAGGGCGGGGGTGGGGGCTGCTGTCTCTGGCCTAGGGAGTTTGTCTCCGACTGTGGTCCCAGTCCATGCAGGAGTAGGGACCCCAGTTTCGATTCTCTGGAGACTAGGGTGCATTTCCCACCCTTGAGTCAGGCCGACTCTCTCCCTTCCCTCCTCTGCTGAGTCATCGCCCCAAAGCCAGGACGCACGGGTCGAGCAATAATAGAGGCTTAAGGGGTGAACAGATCCACGCCACCTCCCCACCAGAGATGTGCTGGTGGGACCCTGGGGATAGGTCAGGAGCTCAGCCCCTCCTGATGTAACAGTTCAGGACCCCAAGCCACCTCCTTCTCTCGGCTCCCAAGAGTCCAGGCCCTCAATCCCTCTTCTCCCGCAGGACCCCCAGCCTGCCCCGCCCGAGGCCCAGGAATGCTATCCCCTCTCCTCCAGACCCCAGGATACCCCTCGCCCCCGTGGTGCGCAGCCCCTCCCCCCTGCCCTGTGGGGCGCCAGCCTAGGAGGAAGTGCGCCCGGACTCCTCCCCGCGCTCCACGTAGCCAGCGGGAAAATCCGCGGCCCGGCGGCGGCGGCCGGGAATCCCCTCTGGAATGATGTTGGGGAAGGGGACGGCCGGGGTCCCCCGCCGGGCGGGCGCGGGGGGCAGGTCCAGGGCGGGCTAGGGGAGAGGCGAAGGGGCGGAAACCAGAGAGGCTAAAAATACTGCGCACGCTTCCGGCCCCCGGGGCGGAGAACCGAGCAGAGTTTCCAGAAAAACAAGCGGGGACGGGAAACGCGGGGGTGTGAGAGCCGCGGCGAGTGCGCGGGCGAACTCGGGGGGAATGGGGGGCGGCGAAGGGAGCGGCTGTCCTCGCGTCACGTGTGTCTGGGTCCTGTGTGTGCCCGGCGTGATTGACGGGGCGGGAGCCCCCTGGAGCCCAGGGCAGGGCGAGGCAGCTCGTGTGCGACCGTGCCAGTCGAGTGGTGTGTGTGCGCGCGCGCGCGCGGCCGGGGCTAAGGCCTGCGGCCCGGCCGGACTGGCTGGGCGGGCCCGAGTGCCCGGGGAAGGAGGCGTGGGACGCCGGGAGTGTGTCCAGGTGTCGTGGGTGCCTGTGACAGGGCGGTGGGAAGAAAGTGTGAAACCGCCCTGTTGGGTATACGGTGGCGACCTCTGGGTGTGGGAGTGACACTCCGCAGGAACTGTGTGTGCAGCTGTCTTCTTGGAGGTGGCCACTTCCCAGACCGACCTGCAAGCCGGTGTGGTGTGCTGCTGCAGGCTCGCGTGCTTGCAAGGTCCCTGGGTGAGGGTAGGGCTGTGTCCATCCCCGCCCCGCGTGTGATAAGAAGACAAGCCCCTCCACCTTGTGTAACCATGTGCACAGCTGGGGGACAGTGTGGCAGGGTCTGTGCGCCTGTGTGTGCGCGCTTGCGGCTGTTCTGTGGACAGCGACGTGTCTGCCCTGGCTCGCCGGTGTCAGACACTGCGTGTGCATGAGAACGTGGCTGGCGGTTAGCTGTGGTTCCCCCGCGGCGCGGTCAAGGCCGTGAAGCCGGTGAACTTTGTCTCCTGACGTCTGTAGCACGAGTGAGGCGCGGGCGCGGGCCCGCCCTGAGCACCTCGGGTCTGCCGGGGGGGGGGGGGCAGACACGCACCCGCCCCAGCACCTGAGACGCAACCGTATCTTTGCCCCAGAGACACTGATCGCGCTGGGGCTGCTGGCAGGGCTGAGTCAGCCAGCGATGGGTAGTCTGTGACGGGGTGAGAGATAACAGTCTAAGTACAGGTTAGGGGGCTGTTTGTGTGTTCCTGCGGTTGGGTTGTTCCCTTGGTTTGTTTGTGGGGCTGCTACTACCACAAGGGCCTTGGGGAGGGTGGGGGGGGAGGGGCACTATGGTTCTAGGATGGTGGGATGGGAGGTTGTGTGTCTGCGCCCCCATAGGGGTGGCTGTTTCTCATAAACCCTCTCCCTAAAGCGCGTGGTTGTGCACCAATCAGGCTCTTCAAGTACCCCCCCTGGGTCAGTTTCTCAAAGTGGGCGACAGACACCGCCCCCTGGGAGTGCGTGCAGGATGGATCCAAGAGGCCTACAGAAGCAAATGCCTACGTTTTAAGCTGGATAACGGTTGGGCTCTCTCCCACTAGCCAACGCTGACTCATAGCGACCCCTGTGGGTTTCTGACACTGGAACTGCTTAATTTAGTAGAAAGCCCAGGCTTTCTCTCGCTGAGCTGCGAGTGGTTCAAACCACTGACCCCATACCAAGGCGGGACCAGTACATCACCAGGGATCCTTGGATAGGGGCTATAGTATTACTATTTGTAATTGTCCGGTGAGGGCATTGACTCCTTTCCCAAATCTAAGTTTTCTTCACAGTCACCTTAGCAAGCCTCTCCTTAACCGCTGTCCAAGAATGAAACACAATGTTTTAGGTAGACACCTCGGCCATTTGCCACATTACCAAAACTAAACTCATCGCCATTGTGGGTTATATGTTGGGCTGCTAACTGCAAGGTCAGCAGTTTGAAACCACCGGGCTCTCTGTGGGAGAAAGACGAGGCTTTCTACTTCCGTGGTTAGTCTTGGAAACCCACAAGAGCAGGCTATCCTGCCTTGTAGGGTCACTGTGAGTCAGAATGGCTTTGGCAGTGTTTTATTATTTGGCTATGAAATATGAGAAAATGTATGTAGCATCTCTTTATACAACATAATTAACACCCATGAAACCACTACCCAACGTAAACTCTTAAACTTCCATGGTTTTCAACAGAGAAGGCATTTTCCACATCCATGTCTTGCCCTCTCTTGTTCCCGACTGATTCCTAAGTATGGAGTGTTTCACTTCTCAGTCTCCTTTCTGATGTCATACTTGCTTTTGTCCCTCCCTTCTTGGGCTCTCTCCTGGTGCGCTGGTAAATGCTTCACTTGATCATGTGTAGTCTCCCTAAAGCAGTGGTTCTCTACCTTCTTAATGCCACTGCCCTTTCATATAGTTCCTCATGTTGTGGTGACACCCCTCCTATAAAATTATTTTCGTGGCTACTTCCTGTCATTTTGCTATTGTTAGGAATCGGGCGATCCCTGTGAAAGGGTCATTTGACTCCCAAAGGGGCAGAGACCCAGAGGTTGAGAACCGCTGCCCTAAAGCATCCACTCTGGTAAGGCAGAGATCCTTGTCCTGGGCCGACAAGCCCTAGATCCTAGATCCTCCCTGAATGCTTGGAGAATGAATGCAGCTTCCTACCCTGTGCATTCTAGAACCCCCACGGTGGTTTTGAATTGCTGACCTTGTGGTCAGCAGCCCAATGTGTAAACCAGTAGGCCACCAGGGCACACAGCATCATGTCAGCCAGAAACAGGATGGACTGTATTTACTTGGAGATCATAAGCATAGCTTCACAGGTGCTTAGGTACCAGAGGTGGACTGTGGTAGTCAACCATGTGTCAACCTCACTGAGCTCCTGAAAACCCAAACAACACTCAGGCCACACATGGAGCCCCTTCTGACTCACAGCGGCCCGAGTAAACCGCCCCTGTGGCTTTCTGAGGTGCTCAGTCTGTATTAGAGCAGTCAGTCAATTTCATCTTTATCCCGAGTACGATTGGTGGGTTCCAATGGCTGGATCCTGTGGGCAGCAGCCCGAGGCCCCATCCCCCAGAACCCCTCTGAATAGGCTACAGCCCATAGTTATTCCACACAAACATAGGCACTGCAGGGCAGGTCAGGTCTTGTGGATGAGATCAAAGTCCATCATCAGTTGCTCCGGCCCTAGAGTGGGCTCTCGCTCAGCCCAACCGCCCTATGAGTTAAAGCAGAGCTGCTCCTTAGGGCCCTGAGGCTTGGTCTCTACAGGAGCAGCCTCCCAAGGAGGGGCTGGCGTCTTGGCCTTTCTTAACAGTAAACCCTTTGTGCCACCTGAGGCCCTCTGACTTGAAGGGAGCTGAGTTTAGCTGATTGATTGTTGATTGCATGTCAGAGGAGCTAGGTGGAGGCTTCTCTGAAGACAGGCTGCCTGCTGGTAGGTAGCAGCTCCAGCTTGGGTCTGGGGGGTTGGGCCCAGCCCACCCTTGCTGCTGGTTGAACCCTGGCAGGGCAAGGAGTTGGGAGGAATTTCCCAAGATGTGTGTGTAACTGGTCGTTCTCCAGGGCTGCTGTGGGGACTTGGCTTGGGTCTGGCAGGTCTCCCTGGGCTGGGATGTGCTTTGAAGCTGTGGGGTCAACAGCCAGCGGCCCTGATGGGCAGGCACATGGGAGCCAGGTGCTGGGTGGGGCAGTCCCACTCACCGACCTGCTGAGTCACTGGGGCCTTTCACACCCCAACAACTGGGCTTGGCTCCTGGCTCCGTCCCGCACTTGCCCAGGCCTGAAGGTCTGCTCAGATCTCCCCAGCAAGCCTGCCTTCCCCAAGGCCCCCTCCCCAGGGCCTGCTGCCCGGAACCAGGGCCCAGGGTCCTTCCCAGGACGGCGGTGATTCACAGCCTTTTCACTTCTCCTTTGGAGCTAAAAATACAGGGGCCCAGGCATCCTGCTGAGCCAGGCCCGCCAGATTGCACAACGCCCTGGGCTGTGTGCTGCTGACGCAGGCCTGGGTGCGAGCGGCGCCTGGCCTTACTCCCCGAACCGGAGTGTAGGTCAGGGCCCTGACACTCCACTTCCCCTTTCTGGGGTGGAGGGCTCTGGGGGGCTGGGCTGGCGTGGGAGGTGTGTGTGTAGGGGGGAAGGGAGTGATGGCTTGTGCTCCTGGATATGGGGCGCTGGGTAACCCAGGGGTCCAGAATGAGTCCCCCTTTAAAAACATCGAAGTTACGAGTTAGTAGCAGTAGACTGTCACAGGAGGGGTGGGTGGGCAGAGAGGTGCAAATCAGCACTTTGAGGGAGATGAGCAGCAGTGGAAGGCAGAGCCACAGACTGCCCCCACCCCTCCTGCTGGGACAGGGTCAAAGGAAGCAGGCCAGTGAGCGGCCTGCTAGGGCTGCACACCAGAGCCAGGTGGGCAGTGGCTTTTGGAAATGGGCAAGCCACTGCACTGTCCAAAGTCTGCTCCAGGCTGCCAGGGGACCTCTAAGGTCCAGGCTGTGACCGCAGGCCCTGCCCTTTGCTAGCAGGCCTCTGCTGCCCCCTGCTGGCTGTCGCTGGAGGAAGCACAGTCAGAGACAGGGAGGGGTAGGGTAACTGCTGTTCATTGCCCAATCCTTCCCCTGACCCTCCCTGCCCTCTCCCCAGCTCAGAGGGTGCCCCCAGGGCCAGTAGGTGGAGCCGGCGTCTTGCCCGTGACCTTGTTGGCACAGTCCAGCAAGGCGGTGTGAATGTCCTTGGCACAGGCGATCTGAGCTTTGATGACCGCCAGGTACTGAGGGTAGGGCAGGCTGTCAGGCTGCACGGCGTCTGGCTTGGTCGCTGTGGGCACCAGTGTGGGAGAGTGCTTGGCACTGTCGCAGCTCTGGGACAGGCACTCATGTGCCAGGCGCTGGGGGCAGGAAGGCAAAGGGGTGGGGTCAGCCTTGCTCCCAGCATCCTGGACCCCAGCCCAGGGCGACCTTGGGAGAACCCGCAGGGTTCTTGGGACCTTGGGAGAGCCGAGCAGGTGGTTCTTTCTGTTTCCTTCTTGGGAAGATGGGTTTCACCATGATCTCCGCCTTTGTTGAGGGGTGAGAACAGGCCCCAGCTAGGCCTCATGACCTATCTTCTCTGACTGGTTTTGAACTGCTGACTTTGTGGTTAGCAGTCCAATTTGTAGCCACCAAGCTACCAGGGTTCCTGCTGATGGCACCAGCTACTGGCTTACCTCCTCCCTCTTCAGCTGCTGCTCCTCTGCTGTCCTTATTCAACCCAGGCCTCCACTGCAGCAGTTCCTGGGGCTGTCTCCTCCTGCTCATTGTACCCTCCCACAGTGGCCCCCTGTGGTCCCTATCACTTCCCACGTCTGCATCCAGGTTCCCATCTCTGCCCCCTCCCCCGCATCATCTTGGAGGCTCTTTCCTCCCACCTCTCCTGCCTGCCCAGCTGCCCTTCCTCCAGGCCCCACCTTGCTGCTCCCCCTGGCAATTAGCGATGCTCATACGCTAGCCTGTCACCCAGGATAAAGTGTAGGCACCAGCTTGTGCAGCCCTCCTGGGAGCATTCCAGTGACCCTCCCTCAGGGGGAGGGACCGTCCACCTGAAGAAACACTGTCCTAGGCCAAGCCCACTTGCCATGATTGCCTTCTTAGGCTCCCTGAAACTGGGGGCAGTTTTGGCCCTTCTAACCCTCCCTCCCCATTTGGCAGCCAGAGGGCTATTTCTAAAGAGCATATGGGTCAGGTAGACAGGTGTTTAACTTGGGTGAAAGGGAAGATAATATTCTATATGAAGGAGGAGAAGAGAGGGTGGAGTGGTGGCCAGGGCAAAATCCTGGGAGGTTTGATTCGGTTGTTTGAAAATGTTGAATTTCACATGTGGGTCTGCATTCTGGCTGTGTGGAATCCTCCATGGCTCCCCAGTGCCCAGGGGAATCCCAATGGCTCCCAGCCAGGCGGAACTTCTTGCAGCTCTTCTCTTGGGTTGGAACACTCTTGTCCCACTACGCGTCTTGCTGCATTCTGATTTGTCCCTCTGTGTCTAACTCAGAATGGGGCGGAGGAGAATGGCACCCAGGAAAAAACACTGACCATGGGCCCCCACAGCACTCCCCACACCCTGCCGTCAAGGAGTCCAATTGGAATCCCGGCGTCCCTAGAGGCCAGAGAGCACGGCCTGGGGGTTTCCCAGGCGGTCAGGCTTCACAGAAGTAGAGAGCCTCCTCTTTCTCCAGACCACAGGCCCTGGTGCCACATTATATATTTTACAAGGAAAATTAAGTCTGCTCGGAAACTCCATTTTCCAGGGACGGAACCTACAGCCAAGCAGTGTGCACCGATGAGTTAGGGATTGGCACACACTCTCAGACACCTGCCCTTCCCTCACCTCCTGTCCTTGTCCCTCTCCCCTTGCCCTCCCAGCCTGGTTGACCTGGGCTATGAGGAGTCTTCCCTGTGCTTCCAAAGCCCCTTGAAACCCCCTCATTTAAGCCCCAGCCCCTACTTACCCCTCTCCTATCCCAGCCTCTCTGGGCTGCCCTTGTTTCGGCACACATTGCCACCCTATGGACTTAGAAGCTCTTCACGGGCATGGGTCCAAGCGACATGGTATCCCTGGCATGGATGGAAGCACTGGTCTAGCCTGGAGGGGGTGCTGGGGTATGTGTGGAGTGACTGACTAGGGGATTCCGATGACTTGGAGGTGGAAGGCAGGGCTACTGGGGGTCCTTACCAGGCAGAGCTCCAGCTGGTCACAGAGGGCATAGAACTCCTCCAGACACTTGTCGAAACGCTGTATTGGCCCGTCGCTGCTCTTTCTACGGCACGGGAGAAGAGGGTCACAGAGGAATGGATTTCCAGGCTTGGGGTCACCAGTGACCACCCAACCAAGCATTCATCAAGGCCCAGGGGAGGGGCGGGGCCCAGGGGGTTGACATCCGGGGCGGGGCCGAGCGCTAGGGGGCTGGGCTTGAAGAGGTGCGACCGCCCAGGTGCTCCCCAGGCCAAGGGGCGGCACTCACTGTCCGTTGTCGATGTTCGTGTTCTGAATCAAATTCTGAGCTGCCACCTTCATCAAAGTCTGTTTACAAACAAACACACACACAACAGGACACAAAAGGGCGGGGACAATGGGAGATGGAGACTTAACCGCCACCCAACCAATTTCCCATTTATTACCACCTTCTCGAAAGAAGGTCAGCTTCCGGGGTAGGAAAGAGGGAACCGATTACATGGAACTGTGTGTGGCCTCCTCCCTGGGGGACGGACAACCGAAAAGTGGATGAAGGGAGAAGTCGGGCAGGGCAAGATATGACAAAATACCCATTTGTAAACTATCAAGGGCTCATGCGGGAGGGGGGAGCGGGGAGGGAGGGGGAAAATGAGGACCTAATGTCGGGGGTTTAAATGGAGAGAAAATGTTTTGAGAAACGATGTACAAATGCGCTTTACACAATTGATGTGTGTATGGATTGGGATAACAGTTGTATGAGCCCCTAATAAAATGTTAAAAAAAAAAAAAAGAAAGAAGGTCAGCTTCCATTCCTATATTGATCACTACCCGGGATTCCCCAGTCGCCTCCCGCCCGAGGGGCCTCCGTGAGGGTCTTGCCTCCTAGCAATTGTGGCCCGGGTCTCTTACAGCCGGGTCTTCTCAGCCGGCAACCACCGGAATCCGGTTCCCCGAGGCCCCAAAAGCTGCGGCCAGCCCTGCCCTTCCCTCTCCGGGCCCAAAGAGCCCTCGGACGCTCCCTGGGGTCCGAGGGCCATAGCTCGCAGGTTGCTCGCGGCTGCCGGCCGCTTACCTGGAGGCTCTCCTTCAGCTGCGGGATGAGCATTTTATAGCGCTGCACGGGATCGAAGTCCTGTTGCTGCTGCTGCAGGAGCCCGCTCTGGGCCGGCCCCACCAGCGGTGCCGGCGGCGGCGGCTGCGGCTGGGCTCCCGGGCCGCCCGCTGAGCCGGGGCCCGACACGCCCGCGGCCGAGGCAGCCGCGGAGGGAGGCTGCTGCGGCGCAGCCATGTTCTTCACGTCGTGCGCCGGAAGTGCGCCACAGCGCGTCTCTCAGGGGGTGTTTTTTTTCTTTTTAAAAAGGATGCTCCGGATTTTCTAGACCCCACGCGTCGCTAGTTAGCCCGCCTCCTAAGCAATCCAGCCAATGGAAACGATCCCCCGCTTCCAGCCGTAGACCCGGATACTTCACGCTCAGACTGAGCTATCTTTCCACCAATCAGAGGCTGCTATTCCACTTGCCCCGCCCCGTGCCCAGCCGCTGGCCAATCGGAGCGCGGGTCCGATTTTGACTCCATTTCCCTGAAGGCCTTGCGGCGGGAGGCGACCTGTGGGCTCCTCAGCGTCGTGCAGGCAGTCGGTGGAGACGAAGCTGCGGGTCCGTCGTCGGCGCGGCCTGCGCGTCTCCCTGGCTCGTCCGGAACGCTTCTCGTCAGCGCACCCCCTCCTGACCCGCTCCCTCTCCGCGGGGAGCGGCGCCCGCCCGGCGCAGCCTCCTGCCCGGCGTCGGCTGAAGTTGGCACGCCCCTCCGCTTCCCCTCGCGGCACGGCCGGGACCGCCAGGCCGTTTTCGCCTGGTCGCCATGGCGCCCACTATCCAGACCCAGGCCCAGAGGGAGGAGGGTCACAGGTAAGCGACGCGTCGCCTCGCGGCTCCGCTTTCCTCAAAGTTGGGGTGCCGCGGGGGCTTCTCGGTGCGATCGTGTGCCCGCGACGTCATCAGCCGGCAAGATGCCCGTGACGTTACGGAGCGCTCACCCTTGGCGAAGGGGGCGTGGCCTCTAGGTTTCCTTTGGGACCCGGCTGTGGCCCTCGTCTGTGCCACCCACTTCGGGAATTCGCTGTCTGGAGACCTTCCAACAGGATTGCGTTTGAGCGCCCTCTGAATACACGGACATTGGAGGAGACCTCTTTCGCAAACGACTAAATGCGTGGTTTGATTAAAGTCCCAAGGAAGGGATTTGGTATTTGACCGCACTCATTAATGCTTTTGGAGATACTTTCTCCAGAACGTGGTACTCTGATGGTGCCGTAGGTTAATCATTGGACTGTTCATTTCAAGATCGGTGGTTCGAATCCACCAGCTGCTCTGAGGGAGAAAGATGAGGCTGCCTGCTTTTAAAAGATCAAGCCTCACAAACCTTCGGCATGTCTTCTGCCATGTTGGTTTGCTAGGAGTTGGTATCTGCTCCATGATAGTGGATTTCCTCTGAAAGGGTTTTAAATGCTCGACGTCCTTAAGAACACTTGGAGATGTGGTGCCGAAAGAAACATGGTGCCCTGCCATCAGAAAGAATAGCATCTAAGGGAGGCATCAACGAAGTCCACCTGGAAGCAGCACACTAGCCTGTGTGATCCAAGGATTGGAAATAATCAAATCCAAATCCGAAGGAGGGAATGGTATCAGAGCTTAAATTGTAAACACTTGGTTCCCAGAAGGCTATGGATGACCGTGGAAGCCCTAAATTCGTTTTGCAGGGTCCACACACATGGATTAAACTTAATGAATACTCTCTGACCATAGGGATGTGACTAGCCTTACCAGAGTACTGTAAAGTTGATTATAACTACACCGTTAGGTTAACATGTAATACCTTATAATTTGGACTCTTTTGACCCATTTTAAAGTAGTTTCAGAAAAAAAAAAGTGAAGGGAAGATACAGCACATGGATTTAGCCCGTCAGTAAACCAGCCTCTGACAACCACAGGGTCCATTGGTGCAATTGTATGGCGATAATATAGAAAGGTTATAGTAAAGTCATAAAGAACAGGAAGGGTAGGAGAGAGAGTAAAATAAAGGAGTCAGACACAGTTCATGGTAGGATGCTCACCTCAGCTCCTCTTGGTGGTCCATGTGGAGGTGGGAGGGAAGATGAGACGAGAGGAGAGAGCAAGTATATTTCTAATCAAGGCTTATATATGTAAGGGTTTTTGGGGCACGAAGCGGAATTAAAGGTCCAATTGGTAAAGTTTTAGAAGCAGGCTTTATTGAGAAGCTTGCGGACGGGTTCAAT